TCATTGGATCTTTCCTAGGGTGCAAATTCCATTTTTTTCTATAGGAAATTGAACTTTGGGATGAAGAGAGGGTGTGCAAAACTTTGGCGTCATAGAAACACTCCTCCCAAAGTTTTTTGAGGTGGTTTCATTATATTACTACAAAACCATTGCGTAACATCTCCCAATCCATCCACCCCCCATCCGACACACAAATAAAACATTCACACACACACATGTATGTGCCTGTGTGCGCGTCTATACACACACATACAAATAGTGTGCTCCAGCGAAAGCACACCATCTAGAACCGCAATATTGGGATGTAACCTCTTTAGCCTAGTGACTAACCTCAAAAAAAAAAAAAAAAGAAAAAAAAGAGAGGAGAAAAATTCAAATTGCACTCAATATGTGCATGCAAAGAAACATTTCAAAATTGAACAAAGGCGGTCCAATTTTTGAAGGGTGAGATCTAAGTGTTAAAGAATTCAACATTTTTTTTAAAAAAAATAAATAAACATCTGGTGATTCTTAGGTGGATCCACAATTTCAGATTGAAAAATCCTCCCAAGTAGCACTCTCACCCAAGGGAGTAAATGTATAGTATACTCCTGGAGAACATATACTATGTGCTTATGCACACACATGACGTAATGCATATCTTATACATCATTAACATTATTTCATCATTGCGTAATTAACACTGGGAATATCAATTATCGATATCTATGTTTGCACATCATTACACCAATACATTACTTGCCCTTTTTTTTTGCACCAATACATTAACCATACACAAGTATCCATCTCCCCAAGTTCCCAAATGAGCTATAACTAAAATTGAAGTTCCATGAATGACATGGAGGGGGAATCATCACCTAACCAGGTACCCTGCTGTTAAGGTTTTTTATGAGTCACTCCCCTTGACATTTCTCTAGGGCCATGGAGTAGTATATCAATGTCTCTGGACACCACTGCACAATGCCGAATGGGGCTCCTCTAAAGATTCAATTACTCCTTTCCAGCAATATAGCTAGGAGGAATGGTATTCACCTATTTACCAAAGCATAAAGAAAAGGCAAATCTTGTTTTCTTGTTGACAAGGTGTGGAAGATAGACCTTCATTTCTTTATTCATCTTGTGTTCTTTGTTAAGCTGTCAATGTAATAATAACTGTAACCTTCCCAATATTCCATGCATAAAAATATATCACAAAATTCACAAGGACTCTTCCCAATGTTTAAAACCTTAGTGATTCCGACTCGGACTTGCCAAAGTCAACAATAACCGGTAAAGTACTGGTCTTGGAGCACTCCAAACTTGTCAAGGAACCTGTAATGAACAGACCCAACCGGATCTTTGTAAAGACGTGGCCAGTTTTTGGTAGGACTCAAGCCCAGAATTCAGTCTTGCCTGAATTACTAGAAACTTGGTGAGTTGACTATTTTTTTTATAACAATGTCTTTTTGCCGCTGAAAAATAGAGTTCTAGTGGCTTGAGGGATTTTTAGAGGTGGCGAATAGCCCTTACCCTATTTTACCCACTAATATTTGCACACATTCAAGAAAAATTAAATTAAAAAAATTAGAAATTTATAAACCCTTTGAGACTAACCCTTTAGAAATTTATAACTCTCTATGTCCTTGGAGACTAGCGCACATTTTTTAATCTTATATTCCACTTCTGCAGGGCACTACGAATAGGCTTCCGTCAAACATGGAATAGCTGATACTCTAGCAAAGTTGCTGCGCTATGTGAGCAGCCACTTTACGCAGCCCATTTTCTTGATTTTGAAATGTTTTCTCTTATTCCTAGCTTTCTTGGCTTCCTCAGCTTTCTCTTTGCATATCCATGCTTTCTTTCTATTTTTTGGGATAATCTACTAACCCTACAGGCCCGCTCTTGGTTTGAAAACCCAGAGTGTGGGATGCATGCCATCCCCCTTATCTCGTCATTCCCTCTCTCTCCCCCTCTCTTTATACCTCAAAATCTTGCTCCCTCTTTTCTCTCTACCCTATTTCTGCCTCTCTCCCTCCCCTCTTTCACCCTCATTTCTCAATCTCTTTATCTCTTTCTTCTCCCTAGCTATATCCATCCCTTCCTCTATCTCCCCCTATACCTTTGTGTCTCTCCCCCCACCTCCCACGCCTATTTCTCTCTATATATCTCCTCCTCTTCTCTCTACCTCTTACTCTCTCTCTCTCTCTCTCTCTCTCTCTCTCTCTCTCTCTTATTTCTCCCAATCCTTTCCTTCACTTTACTCCCCTTTCTACTCTCTTACAACTCATCAAAAAAACTTGTTCTCTAGCACAAATTTCCTTATCCCACACCTTGCGGGCCTTTCATAAAACACAAATCATATTCCAATACTCCCCCTCCCGCCCCCCCCCAAAAAACCAAAATTCCTCTTAGGTACCTCCTCGAATATAAAAAATTCCAAAAGTTGCCCTTGTTCAAGAGTGAGAATGAAGAATAATTAGCTGCATTTCAGTAATTTGACTCCATAAAATGCTCCAATGGAATGATGAATCCCCTAGTTATTCCTCATTAAAAAACAAGAACACACTCTTCAGGATTGGTAATGAGGAACTAGGGGCATTTTTTGTCATTTGTACATACATGGTATTTAGGTGCCCAATGACAAAAAAACCCCCAGTTGTTCCTCACTACTGATATTGAGAAAATGAGGAAGAACTAGGGCATTGCCATCACTTGGTTGGGCCTCTTAGGGGTCAAATTACAAAAATGATGCCCTTGATTGTTCTTGTTTCCTAGTTCGTTTTTTCTTTTCTTTTTTTTTTGTAAAGTTAACTTTTGTATTGTTAAGAGAAGTTAGATGACAGATGTGCAGTAGTCTGAGAAAGCCCTCTAGGCGGGTCTTTCGGTAATTAATAGGTCAGCAGACCTTATACAAAAAATAGGCTTATATACTTGTCCGATTACAAAGGATGTACCGTAGCGTAGGTTCACAAAAAATTGCGCTCATAGAATTGCCCAATTACAATGAGATGTTCAACGTTGTGTGCCCTCAGTGGTCCAAAGCAAACAAGGAGATGGGCTGGGCGTGGTCTTCTTCTTGGGTCCTAGCCCCATCTTTCTCCAAAAGATCGGCGAACTCGTTGGAGGTCTTCCAGATATGCTTCCATGAGACGACCATATCCTTGCAAATGTAAGCAAATTCATCAAAAATCGAAGTTAGGTACCATGGAGATGGTGTTGTCCTTGTTGCCCAGGAGAGAATATTGTGTGCGTCTCCTTCGACTAACAGGTGTGGTTCGAAAGAATGGTTGAAGCTTTTGAGACCTAACAACAGGGCCATGGCTTCAGCTTATTGAGAATCTTTATAGCCTAGATGCCCAGAATAGGTGAAGAGAATATTGCGAAGGTGGTCTCTAAAGACACCTCTAGCTCCCGGAGGGTCGGGGCTCCCCAGAGAGCAACCATCGAAATTGAGCTTCATGGTGCCCTCTGAAGGTGGCAGCCAGTTGTTTAGTCTTTGCACCTTTCGTGGTTTGTGGTAGAGTATGTTTTCCCATTGACTGAGAAAGGTGTTCGCTGAAATGCCCGTAAAAACCCTGTGGTTGGATGCTCAGAATGTTACTAGAGAAGTAACCTTGTGGAAAAGTGCTAGTACTTGGAGTTTGTGACCTTGGAATATTTTGGTATTCCTTTCTACCCAGATCACCATATGCTAGCGGCGATGGTGGACTTCCATAAGGGTCTTCCGGCCTTCAACCAATGTGATGCATGCTCCAAGGAAATTTGGGCCTTGATCATAGGTGGAGTAACCCATTGGAAACCAAACAGCTGCAATAATTGACTCCAAAGGTTGTGAGCTAGCTTGCAGTGGATGAAGAGATGTGGATTCAATTCCTCCTCGCTCAAATACATAACCTGGCCCTTCTAGGGATATGGTAGTAGCGCCTAGCCACTTAGACAGACTCCCTCTGGGCTCAAGTCATACGCAGCAAATATGGGATTTCGGAAGGAGTTTGGGTGCCTGAAAGGAGGCAGCAGAGTAGAGCTTCAGAAACGTGGAAGTCGTTCGCCTCTTCCCTCTCATGGTTCAAAAAATTCATCAGATTCCATCCAAGAGAAGGAACAAGAGTGCGCTTCGGTCAGATCTCTGGCTAGGACACACTCCCCTAAGGGACCTTTTTCCCTCCCTTTACTCTCTTGCCTCAAACAAAGGCTCTACCATCGCAAAGGAAATGGTACTCTCTTGCTTCCTAGTTCTGAACAAGAGCAATTTGGTATTTTTTTAAAAAAAATTAAAGAAGGTACCTAAATGCAATGCAAAAAATAAGTAACACGTCAAATGTTAATTGTAAATTTGTAATCATTTGATCTCTTAAATAATTCTGTGAGGGATTTCAATCCCTTCAATGATAGTTATGTTGCTCGATTTTACCTTTAAAGAGTTCAGCAAAGGGTTAATACCATCTTCCCCAAAACAAAAAAAGGAAGTCCATATTCACTGCATTTTCTCTCTCCTCAAAAAGGAATAAATGTCCCTATAGACACCAAAATGGGGGAGGAGAGTGACGCTGAAGCGTTCAGCGCTTGGGCGGGTGATATAATTTTGCATGAGAGAATAAAGAATCATAAGCATGCTTCTAAGTATAGTATAGTACTCTTCTGTTACACCAGAAACATGTTTACATGCTGATCATGCATTAATAATTACCATACAAAATGACCTCCACAGATTAAAATTCCAACTAATACTCCGAGGTAGGCGAGAAGTTATAGTACACTTTCAACATATAACAAGGAAATCATCCAAAAATAAAACAGACACTTATGATACAGTTTCTCCAGAGACAATATTATGATTTTAAAGCATGTACATTATCAAGGTATGGAAGAACACATTGTTCGCAATACCATGGATTTCACAAAAAAGGTAACAATATCACAACCAAGATATAAATGGTGTTAACCATTTATTGATACGACAGGAAAATCTCATATAAGGTGTAAGCATTTCAAAAAAATAACACTTGTTATAGTGAACATACCTCAAACAACTCAGTCAGGGTATCTTTCTTTTGATCCATCTGTCTCCTTCTCCTAGAATTTCCACTGAAGTTAATAGAATCAGATTTGATGTTGTAACATGATTTCTCCAGCAGGTCTTCAAGAAAAACTTCGGCTACTGGAAATGTGAATCCCTAAGGAAGCACAACACTACAGTAAATACTGAAAAGGAATAGGAAATAGAGTGACCAGGACTAACTTTCCAGTTTTCAAGTTAACCAGTTTCTTTAGAACTTACAGGTATGTGAATAATAGGAGCATTTCCAAAATATTTTGAGAACATCTCTGCATTGATCGTGGCACTCATTAAAATAAGCCGCAAATCTGGACGATGTGGAAGAAGATCACGCAATATAATAATGAGGAAGTCCTCATTTATGCCTCTTTCATGTATTTCATCAACCAATATGTGACTGACACCAATCAATTCTGGTTCGTGAACCTGTGCTGGCACTCAAATTCTATGAGCAAAGAAGATGCATAATGGCATCAAGTATGCACAGGAGTATAATTAAGCTGAAATACTTGGAACTTGGAAGTAACCTATTTGCTGATGAAGATCCAAGAGTCACTTTTAGAAAAAGGCCCAGGAGAAACAATAATGCCCATAAGATATACATGGAATCATAGCAATGGATACATAGATGAATAATAGAGTTTTAAAACAAAGATGATTCACATAGAGGAAAAGATAAACATTGTCATGAATACATAATAAATAATGTGCCATTTGAAACATAATGCGGTAGAAGTCCTTGCCAGGTAGCTATTTCAAGCCAAAAATGGTACTAATAACATACACAAATGAACAACAGTATGAAGTCAATCTTTAGCTCAAAGAAGATATTACTAAGAACATTACTAAATTTCTTAAAAAAATAAAATAAAATCATAACAAGAAAACAAAATACTAGAGTAGTGGTTTGCTAATTGATGTGCCAGCTCTTCTAGGAACAAGTTTCAAAGCAAGCTTTCAGAAATCCATCAGGAAGAAATGATTTCAATTATTTTGTTCTTTTCTTACAGATCCTCTGAAATCACTCCCATTTTCCCAGAAGAATGTATTGATGAACAACCACAATGTTGGAATGAGCTCTTTGTGTGTGTGTGTCAAATATATATGCAAGAACATAGGAACACATCATCATCATCGTCATCATAGGCTTTTCCCAATTAATTGAACACAGGAACACATGCACACAAATAAATAAGCACAGAGAGAAGCACTTAAGAGTACCCTTTGTCTTATAGATGTTCCTTCAGTTCATAACTGAAGTGGTACAGCGCAGACAATACAAGGAAGCAGCTGAACAGTGTGCCAAGACCCCATGCTACGCAGTATAGATGGCCATCAGTTTAGATTGTCAAGCCCACATGCATACCCACTTGAATCAATCAAATTTATTCTAGACCTCAGAGAAAAAGAATGAACATAGAGTACCAGGAAGTACAGATCTTTTATTTTTTATTAATTTATTTATTCGTGGGTGGATTACACAAGCTAACATAACAAGGAAACATCAACATCTGAACTCGCATTATTGATAATTTAGAAGAAAAAGAAACAGAAAGGAAATAGTAAACCAGAAACCCTCTCTGCTAAAATTTTAGAATCCGATATTTGATAAATATTTCTACATGGCATCAAGAGATGACAAAATATAGGCACCTTGAAAAAAGAAACAGAAAGGAAATACTAAACCAGCAACCCTCTCTGCCAAAATTTCAGAATCCGACATTTGATAAATATTTCTACATGGCATTGAGATAAGAAAAAATATAGGCACCTTCAAGATTAAAAAGTTGAAGACGAGTAAAAGTCAGCCACTTTGACCTGAGTTGGAGAGTCAGGATGGAAACCTATTCGGCCACTTTTCAATTTTTTAGTTTACTTATCTAATTAATAAGGATATAAAAAACATAAAATAATAAAACAACAAAGATATTCAGTTCTATTTCATTGTATAATAGAATATAAAAACATTATTTAGGGATTTTGTTATGCTACAAGTATGCCAATTGTTGTGTTACAAGTATACATAATTGAAGGATTGCAAAACGAAAATAAAAAAAGTTTAGATGCGCTGAAAATGTCTGGTACTTGTTACCATGACGCTTATCCCCGACTCCAGTTGCTACTCCAGTAACCTGACCAACATGGACGGCCATCCACTCCATTTTTGGATTTTTAATGAAAATGAAATTCTAGTATTGAAGGCATTGATTATTGAAACAGCTGTAGGAACATGGCAGGCAATGACCACAATTGAGCCACAGTAAAAATTGGCACAAAATGCGTGACAATAATTAGACAGCAATGATGAAAATGAAATTGACTAAGCACTGTTCATAAAATATAGCTTAAACACAAATATATGTAATATAGAAGAGAGACTAACAGATAGGGGAATGTTATTACCAATCGCCTAAGGAGTACACCAGTTGTACAAAAGAGCAACCGTGTCTTTTCCGAACGTTTTGCTTCTAAACGGATCTGGTATCCAACAGTTTCTCCAAGATTCTCACCTCTTTCTGAAGAAATACGAGAAGCTACAGATATGGCTGATATACGGCGTGGCTGTGTGCATATTATGTTGCATTCAGTCCCACGAAGTGATTCTATCTCTTCTTCTATAATGAACTGTGGTAACTGCGTAGTCTTACCACAACCAGTCTCCCCAGAAACTACCAGCACCTGCACAATCAGACACAGCCCAATGATCAGCAAAAAGGAGTCAACACTTATGACATTATTTCTTTTAATATTGACTTCCACAGGTACCAAACAAAAGGAAACGTGAAAAAAAATGAAGGGAGAGTATATTGTTTGCCTCTTTATTATATTGACTACATTGAAGTACCATAGTCATGCAAAGAAATCCCACATCTAGTACAGAACATAAGCAGGATATGACTTACAAGTTAAAACATCCAGGACAGGAACATTAAAAGCTAGAGTGTGATGTTCAAGGAAAATGATAAGCCATAACGATAGTGGACAAATTAGGGAATGCCACGCTTTAACGAACCTTAAAATGCTCGATTAGGAGCGTCTGTCAGTTACAAAGAAAGCCTTCTCAAACTTTCGCATCTCTCCCCTATGCCTTCTTGGTATGTAATCATACACGCATATAGATATCTAAAGGTTGTGTGTTTGCGGATATTTCATTGAGGGTATGGCCTTTGATAGAGCAGAATGGTGAACCAGGATTTGTGTAGCCAACCCCAAATAGTTGGAAAAAGGCTCTAATGATGGTGATGATATTTCGCAAACTCGTAAAATGGAAAAATTTTAAAATATATTTTGACACTAAATGTCCTTACACGTGTTGCAAAATATTACTGAGCAGAGACATTTAATCACAATGATGAAACTCCATTTTTAGGTAAGGCTTTTATTTAGCCTATGACAAAGCACTCCGCATGTACATGTCAATAGTCACAACCACATCACCACTCCTGACTTTGTTGGAATCAATAACAGAAGCAAGGGACTAATTAAACTATAATCATTAGTGATTAAAGATATGCGGAAGAGAAGAGAATCACCCAATCCTCTGAGGACCGAGGTGGCTTATTTGGTTCTTACCCCCACCGAGGGGATGCGTGGGGGTGGCTGGAAATTCTAGTCATGTCCAATTTTGCAATTCAGAAGCTAGAACATTAAGGGGTTTAATGCCCCTGACAGGAATCTTCTCCCATGAGAATGGAATCAAATTTTAAGTGGAACTGATCCTAATGAGATGAAATGGGATAGGAATGGATGCACTCTTGGGCCATCACCACCCCATCTAAAATTTGAAGCCCTTTGACAAAAGCTCCATGAGAGAGAGAAATGACTGAGTCTAGAACAGCCCTAAGTGATCTAAGATTCAGTTCTCAACCTTGAGATGGGTCATTGAATTCTCACGCCTCCTACAGTTTTCCATCTTGTGAAAGAAACCCGTGTTCGAGTCTCCCAGCTTCAACCATTTGACTTTGGCTCTCTGGGCCCAATATAAATATTCCTTGAGAAGTGTGGTGTGATAGTCAAGCTCGGCCTTTGAGCGTTGCTTGCATTCAGATGAAATAAATGGTCTAAACTCCTCCAGGTCATCCCGTAACTGAATATTTTAGAGCAGAGAATCTTTCAAGGACCAAAAGTTCCCTCGATGTTGGGCTTTCAAAGATTTCAAGGTGGATTTCAGCAGCTGATGTTTCCTCTGAAACCAAAAACCCGCCCAACCATGAACCTGAGCAAAATTCCAAGAATATGTCACCATCTATTTAAAGTTACGCTAATTGATCCACTAAGTTTCAAACCTAAAGAGTTTTGGGCCCCGAAGGATGGCTTGAGTATCAAGCTTAATAGGGCAATGATCAGAGGTAGGTATCGATAGAACCAAGGAATGAGAACCCGGGAAAGATTAGTCCCATTCAATAGAGATTAGAAAGCAATCAAGCTTAGAGAGGAAGGAATTTATGGAATGGTATGACCAAGTGAATTGGACTCCTTCAAGGGGTATGCCAATGAGCTGATTATGGAAAATGAAATCCAAAATTGAACCATTGTCAATGATATGGAGTGATTTGAGTTTCGATCATGGGACCAACGAGTTACATTGAAATCCCCTCCCAAACACCAGGTGGCCGGAGACATGCCTGAAATTGATTGCAATTTGGCCCAAAAAGAGGGCCTGAGAGAGTCAAAGTCGGGACCATATACCGCTGTACACTTCCAGAGAAGATTGTCTGAGAGCTTAGAGAGGCATACTGTGGCTGAAAATTGGCCAACCAAGCAATCGATCAAATCGTGAAGGGTTGGATCCCAAAGAATCCAAATACTGCCCGAAGGTCCTTGTGCTTCAAGGGCAATCCACCTACAAGGTCTGAAACCCCAAATGCTTTGGATGTCAGGAAGGTTAGGGGAGGGGAGCTTGGTTTGACTCAAGGCTAAGAAGGCAAAATGTAACACATGGGAATTTGGAGGGTGTTAACATATAAAAAAAATATGTGCATGTGTGTGTATAATAAAGCCTTACATAGTTACATAAAAAAGGCTGCTAACTGTCACCAATAGCCCTCCTTCAGCAAGAGAACAGGTGATCACGTTCGTTTCCTGCCAGCTGTGCATGAAAGGGACTTGGGACTGCCACCAGGCTGGGCGCAGGCTGGTCCAAGCCAATAAAAGCCCGAAATATCTCATGATTAGCCCAGACCATCCTAGCCTAAATATATAATTTTTTGGGGCGCGGCCCGAAACTCTTTGTTGAAATCCAGGCCCATCCGACCCGGGATGAAAAACTTTTATTCTTAAAATAGATCTATCGCTCTCTTCAAAATTATTATACAGGAATCAAGCTTAAAAATGACTAAGTTATTTATAAGAATCAAATATACTGTACATTTTTTATGGTGGTGTTGAGAGAGAGTGCGTGTCTGACCTAGAGAAGGAGAGGGGAAACAAGAGAAAAAACAAAGCCAATATCTTTTTTTTGCCCAAAACAAAAGTTAGAGAGAGAGAATGGGCCAGAGAGGGGGAAAACAAGAGAAAAGCAGTGCTCATGAAACCACACTCTCTCTATCCCACAACACTCTAAATGCACTTTCCAACCCCACAAAATAGAGCTCGACGGCCAAAGATACAAATTAGATAAATCCACTTTTCAACTCTATGACCAGATAAACAAACAAAACTTCCAAATCTGAATTCACTAGAAAAAAAGGTTATATGATCAATCCAACAAAATTGTAATAATAAGGAAAATAAGGCCTATTACCAGTATTTCTCCTAAACTCTGGTAAAGAATGGTGATAAAAAACGCAAAATAATATCTCCAATCCTCTTTGAAAAGCATCCTACTACCATAATGCTCAACTGCTGCAAAATTAGCATTATAAGTACACTTCATCCTATAATCCAAGCTTGAATCAAAGAAACCAATGCCTATCCTCTTCATATCTTCTATCAATTTCTCTGAAACCCCATGGTTTCATACTTGAAAAGCTCCCCAATTTTGGGAAGCTTGTTTGATTTGTTCTTGTACAAGGCTTGAAAATTGGGGATCAAAGTTGCAATGATCGATAACGGGGATTTGGATTTTGTTATTATTGTTAATAAAATTACAGTTTAGAGAGAGAGAGTCTTTGATGAGATTGTTGAATGTAAAGAGAAGGGACGTGAGGAAGCGAGTGGTGTTGGAGTCTCTGTGAAGAACATGCCAATGCTTTGTTCGTTTTCACTTCAAATGAAGGGCCAAAGACTTGGATATATACATCTTTGAGATTTTGCAAAAGTCCAAATGCAAGAGAGAGAGAAAGAGAGCGAGCAAATAAATTTTGTTGGGTCGAAAAAAAAAAAAGAGCTCAAGGCTTGGCAATGGCATTTTGGCATAGATTCAAGAGATTTGGGATAGGAGGAAGCCTCATCATTTTAGGTTTCAGGTTTTACGAGAGAGAGAGAGAGAGAGAGACAGAGAGAGGCTTCAGGTTTTAGGTGTTCCAAGCAGAGAGAGAAAGAGAGAGATAGAGAGAGAGAGAGAGAAAGAGAGAGAGGGGGGTGATAATGGGCTCGGCCTGAAAGCCTGAAATCCAGCCAATACTATTGGCAATCCTAAAGGGACTCGAAGAGACCTGAGAAAGATAGCAGAGTATTTCCTTGAGCATCTCTAAAGATTTCCCAAAAACCAGGAGAAGCAATGTTACTTAGAGGTCGTTTGGGTACCTGGAAATGTATTGTCTAAGAAATATATTACTGGTGTAATACATTATTGGCGTACTACATTACTGGTGCAATACATTACCTGCAAATAGATTGTTACTGTTTGGGAGTATCTACATGCAACCTGGGAAATACATTGCTACTGTTTGGCTATGTCTAGAAGAAATCAGCGAAATGTTTGGGAGTATCTACATGCAACTTGGGAAATACATTGCTACTGTTTGGCTATGTCTAGAAGAAATCAGCGAAATGCATTACCAATATTTTGGCTAGGAAATCATGCATTAATTTATAGTTTTTTTCTTAATACCTTTTTCTTTTCCTTTTTAGGACAAATAATCAATTAAAACTACTTCCTTTTCTAATATGATTTTTCAATACCTTTAATTTAAATTTTTTAAATGATTAATATGTTTTCCAAGACACCTAACTATGAACATACAGAATCATTCTAATTGAAAGACAGACTTATCAGTGGCTGCAATTACATTGAACCATTAATTAAAACCAATGTGGCAATTATAAGACTGTCAAGAACTAACTAAAACACAGGTCTAATAAGAAATAACTATTCCACAATTAAAACAATTAAAGCCAATCATATGAAAGAAACAAATAAGCTTCATGAATAAATAGCTTTAGGATTCTATAACTCATAGACGATCCCAAAATTAGGAAGGGAAGAGAAGGGTTTGACTCTAACCGAATGCAAAAGATAGTTGTAGGTTTGCTAAGACAACAATACATACAATAATCCCAACCAGAAAAACACTTCATTGCAATAAAAAAATTGAGGAAATCATGGTCTCAGAACTCAAAGTCCTTTCATATTACACCAGTCTTCAGGCAAATGGAACTGAAATTACTGCAACAAATCAACAGCAGTCCATAGTCCCCCATCAAATGACATTGAATTTGCTCTGCACTGCCCAATCTCATATGGATTTCGAACAAATCATGAGAACGAAATGGAATTCAATTTAACCAAATCAATA